CGGATAAATTGTTCCGGCACTAAAAGTCGATCTCGTCACGTGCTAGCTCAAACGGCTCTATTATTACCATGTTGGGCAATTTGACTCGCTGACACCAAGATCTCCCTCTCACCCCTGGTCACCCCCTGTTTCTCAATCAAGGGCAACGCTCATTCATCGCAAACCGTCATCTCGGATCTGCCCATATCCGCTACACGTTTGCGCCGTTGTCATCTTATCTACTCTCCTCTTACTTTGGATCTCAGACCACCACTCAGCCATACATACCATCGCCGTTTCCGTCGCATGTCCTCTTTCCAATGACTTTGCAGTAGTCGCCCCTTTCCACGTGCTCACCTCCGTTTCATCTTTCGTATCCTGTCCATGGAGACCACATCCTACGGTGACCACGATTCAAGACCTTCCACCGTTCCGCCGACGACTCCTGCGGACAGGGACCCTCTATTCATCAACCCTCGTCGTAAGTACAAACGGCGAGGTACTGGCTCCATCTCCGACACGAAAAGCGAAGGCTCAGAAGATGAGGCAGGTTCCTCCATGTCAGAATCAGAAGAACACGAACTAGGGCTATTGGACTCGGATGTCGATGTTGATGATGACGGAGAAAGCGGTCTGAACAAACATGAAAGGGGTAAATACAACAAAAGAAAGAGGCGGCGGCAAGGGCTCGATGCCAGAATCGCGGGCACCACAGGTATATCCAAAGACGAGGCGCGCGAGGCAGACAAGAATGTCGTCCGCAACCTGGTCATCAATGGCGTCTTCATTCTCCTGTGGTATTTCTTCTCTCTGGCCATATCCATTGTGAGTCTCTCTCGAAGCATCGGTATCTGGAAGTGGCTGACCAGCGAACAGTACAATAAGATGATGTTCTCGTCCGACCATCTCGATTTCCACTTTCCGCTCTTCGCAACCTCGTTACACATGGTTGTGCAGTTCATCCTAGCCTCTTCTGTCCTTCTGATATTCCCTTCGCTACGGCCATCTCGACCCCACTCGCCAGCATTCGGGGACGAAACACAACCCTCCAAACCACTGATCACCCCTCTGTTCTATATCACCCGACTGGTGCCCACGGGAACGACGACGTCTCTCGACATCGGCCTAGGCAACACCTCTCTTCGCTTCATCACCTTAACATTCTACACCATGTGTAAATCCTCCGTCTTAATCTTTGTCCTTGTGTTCGCGTTCCTCTTCCGCCTGGAAAAGCCGTCCCTCAAACTCATCCTCATTATTCTCGCCATGACCTTTGGCGTTCTCATGATGGTCGCCGGTGAAACAGCCTTTCATGCTCTTGGCTTCGCGTTAGCCATGTCGGCGTCCTTTTTTTCCGGCTTCCGGTGGGCCCTGACCCAGATCCTACTCCTCCGCCATCCTGCAACCTCCAATCCATTCGCCACGATGTTTTTCATCGCTCCTATCATGTTTGTCACGCTGTTCTTCATCGCATGCGTCTCTGAAACTCCATCCGCAGTCATCACGGGTATCATTCTCCTGGTTAGGGAACATGGGATCGTCAAAGCCCTGCTTCTTCTGGTGGTTCCGGGATGCATCGCCTTCTGCATGATTGCGAGTGAGTTCACATTACTCCAGCGCACCAGTGTCGTTACTCTCAGTATATGCGGCATCTTCAAAGAGGTGGTCACCATCAGCGCCGCAGGAATTATTTTCCATGACGAGCTGTCGATGGTTAACATTTCCGGGTTGATCATCACCATTGTCAGCATTGCCAGTTATAACTACTTGAAGATTGTCAAAATGAGAGAAGAAGCGAGGGAAAAATTGAAGAAGAAGGACGAGCAGCTGTATCGCGAGTTGGATGACGAAGACGAAGATGAGTTGGGCAATACCGCAGCAGCCGATTTTGCTCAACTCGATGACAACACGAGTGCAGCGCGCAACCCAACTACCAGTTCCGGCTCGGGTTCGAGAGCAGAACCTTCACCGAACAATGTACCAATCGCCTCGGCGAAGAGAAAGGAAAATATAGAATAGATATCTTTTCGCGTGAGCTGGGTTATTGGATGGTCTGCCTATGACAAAAGACCAATAATGAGAATTACACTTCACCTTAAACTTTTTGCCGTCATCAAACTGTAGTTTCCGCCATTCAATGGACATTGATTTCAATCTGGAGATATCGCCCTTCGAGCCGAGTCCTCCACGGAAGCGTAGAACTGTTCTGTAACCCTAAGTCAGTTACTCTGCCCCATTAGCGAAGACTCTGCTGAGGGTGTTGTTGTGTTTGTTGTTGATCAATCAATCCTTGGAATCCTGGATTGATTGTTCTGGGTTCCAGACAGGTAGACAGACGCAATTGCTGAAACCCCGGGAGGACATGTTGCGATATTGATCTTGCACTAATGTTCATGTTCATTCCTTTTTGTCGTAAACAAACAGCATCAGAACCCAGAATACCAACTACGCAGATACCAGGAGATGCGGAAGCTAAATGTGAAGATGTTGTCAAAATAAAAAGGGAAAATAGTGGTACATCCATGCCATGGCTCAAGTGTCCTTGACGGCGCCCGTATCGTTGCTCAATCAGAAGTATTTGACAACCTTAACCCCACGTCGCCCCCAAATACCTCAACACCTGCTGATACACCACAATGACACCGTGGTAGTCAGACTCCACGCTCCAAAGTCCCTTCCTAGGACGGGCAGAAACTAGCAGGGACGCCGCAGTTCGCGCCGATGAGGCTTGTACCGCAGGCCACAACCGTCACAGTCACGGTGAAAACCTCGTCACCAGCATCATTCTGTTGAGCTGTTAGCTTTGCTGAAGCCGCGTCCAGCGCCGATATCTGAGACTGCACAATCGATATGAGGGCGTCAATTTGATCTTTCTCTTGAGAACACGATGCAGCATTGTTCGTGTTGCCTGTCACCTGGGCTCCTACTACGGCTTGAACGACACCTCCGACGACAGCTGGAGCCAGTCCAGCAACAGTATCTGCAATTCGAAACGTCAGAAGCACGTCTCTTTATCATGGTTACTGTATTTCACTCACCAACCGCGACTTGATGGAAGAATGGGGCTTTTAAGAAGTCGAAGACTTTCTGCCCACCGGCTTGCGCTGCAGTCTTTACCACGTTGGCATACGGGGTAAGGGCGTCCCTTATTTTCACTGCGTCTTGTTCCGCAGCTGAGATGCATGCGGTAAATATATCGCACAAAGACGAAACCAAGTCTCGTTGGTCAATTTCTCGTTCTGTGATATTTCTGATAAAGTCTTGAAGGACCAGCTCATTGTCATTCATGATATGGACCGTATCATCCCACTCATCAGGTAGTATGCCTATGTAGGCATTCGCATATATCTGATGCAATTTGTAACTGACGCCATCAAACGACAGATCCATTCCATGGTAAATCGTTGGGTTTGGAGGGACCTTCGGGGCGGTAGAGGCCAGCGAGAAAGGATACCGACGATCGATAGGAGAACGACGCTTGGACGCTGAATTCGAGGCTGATGGATTGCTTGGGATGACCTGGAATGACTTGTATGCCCCAATGACGCCTTGGTCAACGGTGAGACATCCTCCATTGGCCTGGCTGACTTCAGTTCCTGGTACACAGTTGTCCGAGTTATAGAATTGCACGGTGGTAGAATCATCAACTGATCCAGTAGATTCGACAACGACTCCCTCAGCTAGACCGCTAAAATATGTTAGGTTTCAACGCACAACTGTGATCCTGTAGTGATGCCTACGCGTATTCCTGCCGGCAACCCTGGCCTTCTCCTCCGACCCATGTTCCGAGGAACTCGCCAGCGCAATTGGTGTTCTTGTAAAAGGAAACCTTGAAGGCTTCGACGTTGGAAATCAGACAGATGAAAAGAGCTAGAAGTTCGACGCAGTTTTTCATGGCTCGCGCAATCTGCAGGTTAGGACGTCAGGAATTTGAGACACTGGAGGACTTTGTGAGTGTCTGGTGCTGTTCTTCCAGCTTTGTCGTTCTTTGATAGTCTCGTTGCCTTGACTCGATGCCTGCATTATATATCTCGACATTTTATCAGCAGCTTTTGTAAAAGCGCCGCGGTCACACTTGGACGGCTGGTCGCTCAGACAGAAGGTTGTCTCAAGTATGATGGTTGCAGAAATGTACGGCGGTTCTGGAGCTATATTCGATGAGTTGCCAGGATAGATATCTGTTGCGACACATTAGCCCTAGCGACCAACCTTGTAAGGTCGCAGCTTCGAAGCAGTCAACTGCTCAGGCCTTGCGTAGACCCTAAGTACTTACAAAAGCCTGGATCCATACAACACGCCCCGTGTGATATGGTTCATGGCTTCGATGAACCCATTGTCAGGTCGGTGGGACCATTGTTGAGGGATTATCATTGCGACGAAGGCTGGCTAGATAGCCCAAGGCTGATAAGGCATAGTCGTGGAGGTGAGACTTCAAAGGCTGTCGACTCTGGTCTGTCTCCATTGCCGATGCAGACTTCGCACAGGACTCTGTCAACCTGGGGGCGGCATATGGCCCAATGTGGGAGTCTTCGATCTTGAGTAGACTCTTTGACCAGCTAGTGGCCTTCGAGGAACGAGTCTCCTACAGATGCTATGCCGATGGAGGAGTGATAGCCCGCTTTAGACCTGACGACCGCAGCCATTGCGCCAATCAATTGAGTTAGGACAACATAGCCGCGAAGAGGGCACTGCCAGCCAGTACAATGAAGAAATACGCCTCGGCGCTTATGCATAAACAAATGATAGCTCTTTGTAAGGTGCAGCCTGCGACGTCGAGTTAGCGCTGGATTTGTCGAGGCTCAACCTGGTGGTGATGAGGCTTGGCAGAATGTGGCACATCAGGCAGGAATGCCACCCTCCTGTCTCGCCATTCAACTCAATTTCTCAATTCCATACAGCAACCGTCCACAGTGTATTCATCTTTCAGGCTGTTCGTGTAGGGTTCTCTGTTCTCTCGATTCAACACCTGAAGTCATTCCAACAGATCCGTACAAGGCATAACACGACCACCTCGAATAGTCATGTCAATCCTGGACTGGCTTGACGATACCAAGAACCCAACCCTTTGGATCATTGCCATATACCCCCTGATGATAGTCCTCCTCGGCCTTGTGTGTCAGTTCAGAATGACTCACTTGGTTGAAAGCATCCCTCTTGCACCGGATGAAGAGCCGAAGAAGACAGAAGAAAGCGAACGTCCCACTCCCGACGACACCTCTATGGAGTATGACTTAATATCCTCAACAACTGCGGATAGTTCGATGAAAAAGGCGGAGACTGCGAAACCAATTGGCACCACCATCAAGCAGCCCGAACCTCGAGTTCCCTCCCCAAGCGAGGAACCTTCGAGGCACCAGAACGTCAAGCACAAACCAACAGTCTCTCCCCATCATCACTGGGAATTTGTCAAAGGCATTCTATTGTACTGCCTCCAAGAACTTCTAGCGCACCGAGTAGGAGTTCTGGTTGCTAGGCAAGTACAAGAGAAGCACCGCCTTCTGGACATTTTAGTAGGGTTTCTGGCAATGTCGGTGGTCACGGTGATGCTACTAATGTCCCAGGCGTATGTGAGCAATGCCAGATTCCTGACACTCCGAGGATACCGAACCAGTCAAGACGTCAAATTTTCCAGTGATCGAGATGGTCCTTTGGCCAATTTCTTCGCCATTGCGTTCCTTTCGTTGGCGGTGCCATGGCTGAGACTTCTCTATGGCGTCTTTATATGGTGGAGCGTGAGAGGAAAGACTGGATGTTGACGCAGCGATTGAGTTTCTGAGGGAAATACAAGGCAGAGGCAATACTCAAACATCGATCAAGATCTACTATTAGAATGCTGGAATGCCGAACTCGAAAGGATACTTTATTGGGCACTACCACAAGAGTAGCACTGCTACATTGGAAGCATGGGGAATCTCTTCTACAAGGATTTGGATAGCATAGGCTGTCTAGTGATGGAATTGGATGGTTGGGATGTACGCTTTGTTCAGCAGTGCGCTCTATGCAGCCAGGAGCCAGAGCATGTGATATGTCATTCTCTCTTCACAAGTAGAAAAGCATGGTTACTAAGGGAAAAACGAATTACGGATCCTACATACAAAACAACATATGGTCCCAATTCAGCTCTTTACAAACTGCGGCGTCAACCCAATCTTGACGCAGCCGCTGCCGGCCTTTGCCCCGACCGCGAGTATCCCATTGCAGGAGAACCAGGTTTCGGCCACGTTCTGAACCTTGCACACCAATGCGCTGTCTGCCACGTCGAACGTGGCCGTCGTGTAGCCCATCGCGGTGATGTTGGTGGGCGCGTCGAAGAACAAGGTCATGGCGGCGCCCGTGGCGTTGACGGGTGGATGGAGGTTGGCGACTTCCTTACTGGCAGACCCCACGAGGCCACACGCCTGGTTAAACGTGAAGGTTGTCGCGTTGGCCGCCGTCCCGCCAAAGGAGATCTTGTCCCGGCCACCGCCGACCTTGGAGAGGAGCGCGTAGGTCCCGTTCTCCTTGGCTGTGCTGGCCGTCTGTTGCAGGACGAAGGTCGGTTGAGGGCCCGAAGGGTTGCATGTTGTTGGCGTCGAAGATGGAGCAGCGCTGCTGGTCTTACTCGACGACGTACTTTTCTTGCTTGTCGTTGACGGTGGCGTCGTCGATCCCGGTGGCACGGTTTCTGGAAGCGTGGAGACAGTGGTGGCCGGTGGGAGGGAGGGTTCGGACGGCGATATTGTTGTCGACGAGGACGAACTCGACACTGTCACGGCGTCGGTGCCGTTCCAGTAGACATTGCACGAGTCATCAGTGCAGCAGCTATACTGCACGATGAGGTGCTTGACGCACTGATAGCCGGCCGGACACCAGTAGCCCTGCGACCCGCCGCAGCAGATGGCTCCCTGGCTCGCGGGATACTGCCAGCTGGTGCCGCAGCATTGCCAGCCGTCAGTGGCGTATCCCGTCACACACTTGACACTGTCTTTGGGTCGACAGCCTAGCGCATTGCAGCACTCTTGGTCCGCCGGGCAGCAGTATGCTGGAAGAGGGGGGGATCGTGGTCAGCCCAGCACCACGCAACAGGACGAAAAGATGATGGGTCAAACGTACCGGCACAGCCAGTCAGGCCGTCGCAGGAAGTGGCTTCCAAAGCAGGCAGGCAAGAGTTCGAAGGGGTCGAGAGATCGCGCTTCATGAGCTGGCCGTGTGCTTGCTGAGGCGTGAGCAAGGTGGGATTCGAGCGGGCTTCAATCCAGGCTGCGTCTGCCACGGCCAGATAGAGGAAGAAAAGGGAAAGACATATCATTCTGTAGATTTTAGTAGCCATTGTGGTTTAACAAAGCACTACCGAAGAGACTGCCTCGGAGGCCCCAGAAGGAGATATATATATCTCTTTTTTTCCTTCCTCCACTTCAAGCAACCTCACATCAACAGTCCCTTCTCCTAAAGCCGCTCCTTGCGGCTCATCCCACTCACCATCCAGCACAGCCTGTCCCAAAACGATACCACTCCGCGAGAGCGGACCTTTTGCAGTTGTAGACTTCAAAAGTCCCGACATCCCATTCGACTCAATGCCACGAGAAACTCAAAAAGCTTAGCAGCTCAAGCAGTGAGCTTAGTTTTCTCCGTTTGTGCTGTTACGAATGTGAACAGGCCGGGTTGGTATGGAAATTCAAAGGGGAAATCGAGGACCGGTTGGTCGGTTGATTGCACCCAGTCGTCGAAATCGAAAGGGATGGTGGCCAGGTAGCTAGCCAGCCAGCTACCAAACTTGCTGGTAGTCATTGGACAAGTACTGGCTAACTCGGTAAGCCTTGTCTGCAGATACCCTCGAGCCTCTCGTACCGTGGAAAGTGGACAGTGGCCACGGGAATATGGATACAATGGGGATGGACAACATGGAATAGTATTAGCATTAAAGTCAACCCGTCAACATGGAGAAGACAAGGTCACAGAATACGAGTCTGCCTTGCCTTGTCTCGCCTCGCCTTACCTCACAAGCGAGCGAGCGAGCGAGGGAGACCTGTTTTCGAGGAAACGCGGCAGCAAAGCAGTTCTATCCTATCCAAGACCCGCCGCCCGAGTGTGTAAGTGGCTTGCTTTTGGCCTTTTGACAATACAGAACCATCGTTTATGCTTTTCGCCCGTCGACTATTTCCTTGGAGGAAGAAACCACGCACTGACGCAGAAAGAAATCCCTTTTCGTATTCGCTCGCTCAGCTGAACGGAAAGGCAAATGGGAGAGGTCGTGGTTGCGACTGGATATCTCCATACATTGGTAAGGCGAGGGTTTAAGTGGGAGAGGGACGAGGTACCTTTGTAAGGTTCTCAGCCGCACACGAGGAAACACGAACCGTCCAACGTCAATCCATTGGGAGAGACGACACACCTCATGTCTGAGGGAAACTGCCTCATAGAGGCTTGTGATTGACTTGTCATGGAGAAGCTTTTCTTGGCTGCATATCAGACACGAGGCTGTCCTCGACTTTTGATTAGTCCGTACCAACCCCGTACTTCCCAGCCACCATTGGGTTCTAGATACCCAAGACCATCAAGTTCATTCGCCGACGGGAAGGAAAGAGAGCTGCTCGTGTTGATTGATACAATTTGGTACATTCGATACAGAATACGACCATGATTCTGATCATGAATTTGACCCCGACCGTATTTCTGCATGCAGGACGGCACGGAGTGGCATCTTCTTTGGGAATAGATTGCAATAATAGATCGCATCCAGGGGACTTTATCCTTTTTGGGTGCTGGAAAAGTCTAATATACCCAGTACTGGATGCGAGAAGTACCACTCACCTCACACACACAGCCCTTACTGGGTGCTGGCCAGGCGCCAGATCCTAAAGACCAGGCGAGTCCCATGGTTCTCAGCCCTTTGGCCGGGCGAGCGAGCCACTTTCGTATAGTCTGGGCCTCGAGCCTCGTGTCTCGAACTCTCTTATCATCCCGTCACCATCGTGGGAGTGGTCATGGTCATGTTCATGAGAATTACTCCAAACGGCCCCTTTGAGGGGACGGGTGGTGGAAAATGAGAGGAACCGGGATAGGATGGCACGAGACAAGATAAGACATGGACTGTCGACGACATATACTGTGTCATATCGGCTGGAAGAACCCTCTCTGCCCAGATGTCTACCAGCTATGTGAGTGTGAGTGTGAGTTATATAGGTCTGATCTCTATCCGTTCATCTCTCCCACCCATTTCTCGCTGTTATCCTTGCAAGAAAGAAAGACCTACCTCCTGCGTCCTGCCACTAGGTATATGCTCCATTGGCCTCCAGATTGGTACTACTGGTTCTCCCTGTTGTGATCTTCAAAATGAGACTATCACATCCATTGCTGAGCATGCCCCTCGCCGCCGTCACCCTCCACATGGCGTCAGCCCAGATGGTCTGCACCACAGAAGGATCTCCCGGGCCCGCGTAAGTTCGAAAGTCACCTACGGACCAAATCCATTTTCTTTTTTTATTATCCACCAGAAAAAACACTGACAGTCCATCCATCTCCTGGTGTATAGATCCGTCCTCCAATGTCTCGGCTCCGTCGTGCAATGCGCCACGACCCTCACCGATCTCAAAGTTCTCAGCTCGTGTGAATGCAGCTATGTCCGCGCTGCGCTCAGGTAATCACAACCAAGCTATGGAGCTGCACTCCCCCCTCTAGAGGTCACTATATACTGACATGTCGGCCGTCGATAGCTGCTACACCTCCATCTGTGGCGACAGCATCCCCTCCACCAGCGACATCATGTCCCTAAGCTCGAAGTACTGCGGGGACGGGGGCGCGGCGGCAACAACCACAGGTACAGACACGGGATCGGGGTCACAAGCCAGTGCGACGGCCTCGGTCGCCAGCGCAACGAGCAGCGCCGGTGCTGGCGCCGCTGCCAGACAAAAGGGTCTCTCGCAAGAGGTCTTTGTCGTCGCTGTGGTCGGGTTAGTCGGTGGCGCGATGGTCTGACTTGGCCTGAACTGATCTGACATGACTTGATATAACCTAACCGCAACTATATATGGGAGAGGGGAGGGGGGCTCGGTCATTCATTAGCAGCAAAAGGGAACATGCCGGGGAGAGTGTGATGAAATCACTCTCAAATTTACGCAGAGTCTACAGTGAAACATCAAGCATAAAAGGCTACGAGGAGCCAAGATACAACTTTCCTTCCTCATTCACTCATTCATCGTTCATTATCTCTTCACCCTCGTTGTCTGGACATACTATTCCTTGTGACGAGGCTGACTCGCGAAAAGGGGGGGGAAGCAGTCTCCATAATCCCCAAAGAGGCTCCGCTCCGCCCCACACAACAAGCTTGTCGCTGCTCGGTACAAGCACTTGTAGTACCTGCAGTGGAGGGAAATTTTACTGGGTGTAGAATGCATATTTGCCAGTATTTCCACGTCTCACGGTCCAGTCCAATATAGGTTATTTGAGATGCACACATTTGTAGAGTCTTGTTATGGGCGCATTCCCGGTCGAGCCCAGTGCACAACGACCTGGAGAATTATTCTCGCTCCAATTCTCATGGAGATAGATCGTGGCGCGCTATCCTGCTTGATCAATGCCCACTCCGCCACTTGGTGCTTCCAAATCAATGCCCGAATCATTGACCCGAAGGCACAAACAGGCAGAACAAGCTACAGTCAACTGCTGCACTAAAGTTTGTTAGTGCTGTATGACGCCGGTTGATATCCTGATGTTGACTCCAAACAATGCGGCTCATATTCAAAGTCCGGCAATGCTTGTTTCTGGCCCTGCGCGCGAT